AGTTACTAATATCTTTATTAAAATATAGTAATCTGCCAAAATGAGATGCTGGATTTATGCAATCCACATTATAAAAAGTTTAGTCACAGTACCAACAAACTGTTAAAGGCTAATGGACAGTTTGATCATATTAAAAATATACAAAAAATACTCCTTTCCATTCTCCAAATGAAGCTGTATACAAGAAAAAAAAAAAAAAAAAAAAAAAAACAATGACAGAAAAATACACACATGAAAAGGACCACTGCCATACAATGAAATGTAACCATTTTTTGTACATACTAATCTAAAATAAAAATTAAAAAATCATTAATTTCCTTATTTCCTCTTCAACAAACTGTTCAACTGTTCAATAGTATTAATCCACCACTAGGATTAATACTATTTTTTCTGTTTTTGCATAAAAAGTGCAACAAATGCATTTTGATCATATCACACAACTCTTGTACAGTAACTTTGAAAAAAAAAAGAAAAAAGAAAGTAAAATAACATAATAATTCACATCCAAAATTTTGTAATCTGAAGTGAATGACCATATATGTGTGTACAGGAAGAGAAAAATAATGGAAAAAAAAAGTATAATCACTCCAAAGAAGCCAGAGACAGAAATTAAAAGTCACATGCTAAAACATTCACATAAAAGTAACGAGGGCTCCAATATCCTCATCTGTATAAAATTTCTAAGCATTCTTTCACTAATAAAACAAAGAAATGCTAAAGAGAGTTCATATGAAAGCTGCTCTACTTGAAATACAGTCCTGTTGTAATGCATGTTTCTCATGGAAAAAATGCACTTACTAGAAATAATAAAGATAAAAAAAGATAGTAGAACGAAGAAAAATTAATCAACATAGACAAAAAAAAAAAAAAAATACAAAGAAAAGAAATAAAGGAAAGCACGAAGAAGAAAATCTTAAAATCCGGACTGTATTACTCGTCTTGTAAAGAGCTCATAGTGATTGGTCTTGGCAGTGAAGGCTATCAACAAGGAAGGCAAAACGACAACTACTAGGAAAACTTGGCTTTGCAATGGGTCTTTCCCTTCTCTCTAGTGTCAGCCACCCATCTCGGAATGTTCTTGATGATCCCCATTTCTGCCAGGTACACGTAGATGTGGTAAGTGGATGAGCCAGACATCTCTATGTCGACATTTTTCAATCTGAAACCTTTCAGTTCTGCAATCTGAAAAAAAAAAATAAAAAAGGTTCATAATATCAGTGCCTCTATGGGTGTTTACACAAATTAATTTAATCAAATAATGGATATAAAAGAAATAAAAGAAAATTACAGTTGGATGTTTCATAGGAATTTACCAAGACTATATAATCTAAAATTCTGATGCATGACAGACATCAAAGTATACAAGGATATCAGACAGATAGACTGTTAGTAGTATGTTATCATCTAGTTTTGTATGAAGCTCTATTATATATTTGATGAAATAACCTTAAAAATGGCTCCTACAAATCTGCTTCATTTTGTAAATCATATTTGTATCAATAATGCATTCTTATATAATTAACTTTTCCAAACTTTCTATGCATCTTCCCTGTATACCAGCAATAATTCTCCCAAACCAAACTTCCACTTCCCTATAGGACAGTCCCCTTGTTAGAGTGTAACATTTCATTTTGTTACTTCCAGCTTGATTGAAGTTTTCAAAAATAGGATCTGAGATACAAAATCCGAGGTTAGTTTTCTACAACACACCTGGATGTATTACTTGGCAGAGGGGGATTCAGAAACCAGAGAAAACACACAAACATACACACACCCAATCAAAAACTGACACATATCCCTACACTGGATCTATCTAATGACATATAATTACCAAAATTCTGAAATTGATAGAATGGCCATCAAATGCAGTTACCCATGTGTGGAATCACACATTTTAATGTAATGTTTTTAATTTATTAATAAAAAAGGATAAAAATCCCTTTATATAATATTTCACGTTATTAGTAATATAAATAAATAAATGTCATTTGTTTAGTTTATTTCTTTTAACTGTGTCAGTGTGTGTCAGTAGCACTATATACACTAACACTAAACATACTTTTTCCCTTTTTCCAAACCTTGGGTTAATAATGAACTAGTAATTAGACTGCTATACAGGCATTACATATAAGATCAACTCTTGGGTCTAGAAATATATATATATTTTTTTTTTTAAAAAATCCAAGAAGGAGTAAACAGCATCCACAAGGAGCTGGTAAAAACAGCATTTATAGAGCTAATTTACATGCCTACATATGCTTGCTTTTATCCTGAACAAGACTGCTAATCACTTCCCACTTAAACCTTTTGCACCTACAAAAAATCCAACTTTGCATGTAATGGCTGGATAGACCACAATTGGAATATTCTGCATGCTTTGGTCATTGCTTCGGCAGTAAGGCCAGACAACTAATGCTGGCCTACCCTTGCTCCATTGCAAGTCTGTGCTTCCCCTTATAGCATCCCATCCAATTAAATTTAAAAAAGGATGGCAGATATATCCTGTCAGATTGCAGCATCAATCATATATTCACAATCGGTATCAAAAACTCCTGGTCATTTCTGCTGAAATTCACCCCCAGCCCTCAGCCAATCCTTTCCATTATGGCATATTCACATCACTCACCCAACAAGCCATATTGTTGCATGAAGTGATGGTCATGTCATCCAAATCAATCATATGCCTCCTTGATCTACACTCCTCCTTTAACCCACAGGATCTGGGTGACATGACCATCATATCATAAAAAAATTTAGCTGAAGGCTGGAAGACATGAATATGCCATCAAGGAGGGCTGGAGTGATGGAAATATAAAGGCACTATTTTCAAACTCAGAATCCTATTCCTGCCCACAATGCCCAGCAACAGAGTATATTAAAGAAAATGAAATAATACAAAAAACTAAAATATGACACAAAAAACACAATAAACATAGGGATAATATAACAACTAATCAATGAAAACAGTCTATTACCTTCCTGATACAGCTTATCAAATGACAAATAGCCTTTGGAAAAGGCAAAAAATGCTTATGTAGAAAAAGAGATAATAACACTACAAAGTTTTTGAGTTGGGGCAGGCCTACAAGCCACACACCTGGGAGAGTTGCCCCAAAATTAGTCCAGATGTGGGCTATGAGACACCCAAATCTAATGATTAATTAGAAGCTTATATGAGAGACAGAGCATTAGTAATGTATATATTTTCCAGTTGGGTAAACACATACATAGAAAACACAATGTGTAGGGGTAATGTGTTGCCCCCTTGACCGATATAATTTGTTTGCCAAAAGCGTCATATGACACTGTCCTGTCATGGAAAAAAGGGCTGGGTTGAACATCATCAGCCAAAATGGGCCAAGACACCAACTTGCCAGGAGCGAAGGCCAGGGTGATTGAAAAGACTCACTATGAGCACACAAATTTCTTGGGAGTGTGATTGGACTCATTTAGCACTTAGAAGGGGGTTTTAGCATTATTCCCATACATAAACAAATGTCAAATGTAATTTGCATAAGCTGGGACTGGCAGAGTGCTGGCTCCAAGGAGGACACCATTTCCATACTTAGTATTGTATCCCTAGCCACTGATCAGCAGTGCAGGTTGTATTACGGATAATTGAAAATTACAAAAAAGAAAGAAAGAAAAAAAGATATATGACACAAATAACCAAACATTACATATTTGATTAACTACATAGAGAGATGATATGGAGCTTGTGCAAGGGATATATTCTATTACCATCTGGATAGAACATATCAAAAGACAAATATGGACAATGAAAAATGGCAAAAAAGCTTTAAAAGTTTATGCAAAATAACTTTGCAAAGGGGAGGCAGAGAGTCTTGTCACCGCTTACAAGTGTTTCTGTGCGCCCGGCCTACGCACCACACTCCCAGGATATTGGCCACTTATGCAACCCACTGCCCGTATTTTAGACCCTGTGATTTCCGTGATGCAGCGGGATCCAAAGGGTTATATAAATTGTAAGTGATATCCTGATATTATGAAAAAAATTGTAAGAACTTTAGATGAGTTTCGCATATATAACAGGGATCATAACACTCACTTTCATGCTAATATCAGTGGCTCAACCTATAACAGTTACTCATAATATCCAGCTCAATCTGACTACCAACTGAGCAATCTGCAAGTATCTATGTGGATGGCTTTGAGTTCAGCTTTCTCTCAGCTTGGTATGTACAAAAGTCATTTATTAAGATATTACCTTCGAACTTCTAAAGATATTCCTACTATTGCCTATCCTTAGTAGTGACCAAGTTTTATGTGCCAGTGATCAATACAAGTCCCAATAACGTGACATATGTGACCTCTTGCACCTCCTGTGAGATAAGTTACAGATGGATTCCTAAGCTGCATCAAAGATTGTTGAATCGGAAGGTGTTCCATTGGGTTGTTTAGTGCTGTAAAAGTATCAGAGGTAGCCATAGCTGATCCACGGGCGGATTCCTATTCCCATTATTTTTCAAAAAGAAACACCCTAGAGTGATCACTAGTGCTCTGGAGTGGGCCCAGTAGGTAGCCACTATCAATCAGTGGTATCATTATATCAGCACTGCAGAATTCTGAACTTTAGTAAACCCTTCCATTCTTCCATTCTTCTATCCAATGAGTGTTGATGAGGGTATGGTTCATCTTAGCCACATAATCTGCAACACAGTTGAAGCACTAGTAACAGGTGCCAGAAATCCTCAGTTTCTGGGATCACACAAAGTCCTGGAGAAGGAGACTTTCCTCATTACCAGTATAAGCTTCCAATCTATGGGGACATATTGTTATGGCATCTATAACAATATGTCCTGTCAAGGACAGCTATCAGATACAAAAACAAATTTGGTGTAGGACACCTCTTTAGCATCATATTTCTATATATCAGTAGGAGCGTACACAGACATAATGCTAAATAAGTGCCTCAACCTCAATATCAGCATATTCTCATGGACTTGAGCTACTCCTACTACTGTTGGCTGTAGGATACTGAAGATTGATATGGCTACCTTTGAAGATGGTGATCACTGCATCTCAACCATTAACAGGTGAATCTACCTTCACTAATTTGCTGTTGCCAGGCCACTGCCACCTTCAGCTGCTTTAGTTCCCTCAATATCATTAGCAATTATATATCCTGACACAAAGAGGTTCCATCCCTCCATCCAGATGGCCCAACTGAGGCTAAAGTTCAGGCATTCATCCCTCCCTGACATTCCACATGCGTAATTCCTAAGAGCTTTGGCCTCTAAACCTAAACAAACATTTTGTCACAGAAGTTGCTCAAGAGCACAATTTGGCAAACCCCAGTGATGCGGTGGTCATTCAACCATGTACAATTCATTCCTGTTATATTTCTTTATTATCATTCAACTTCATTATAAATCCTAAAATATTCACTGAATTGTAACATGACTGTGATTTACAAGGAACCCTTGCAGAGCACAAGGTTATCATACATCAGAAGCCATAGTATCAATATATGTGAAACATAATTACAAACAGCACATAAAAAAGAAATACAATTACTAATTCACTCATTTGTTGTTGATGAAATCTGACCTTATCTGACTCACTGCAAGACTTTATATTGCAGACCTGCCAATGCACCAGAACATCGATGGCCAAATTATATAAAGCCTATATATAAGACAAAAGCAATAACATTTTGAATGTCTCATTAAAACAAATTTATAAGATGGAATATATAATAAAACTTTACACTGTTAGCGACCAATTATGCTGATGCTACAGATAATTAATAATAATAATCATAATAATAATAAAAAAAAAAAAAATTGTGACCACTCATGCAAAATATGCCTTTCTGTGGGGATTGTACACATAAGTAGGGTCGAACCTTTAACCCCTTCAATCCAGGTGACGGGTCCATCACATCATGAAAAAATTTGTGCGGGTAACATGAACATGCCGTCATGGGTAAAAATGGCTGCATGCTAGGTGACATGAACTTGTCATGTCATGAGTGAAGGCCAGGGTGACAGGAAAGGCTCACCACAAGTGCACAAACTTCTTGGAGGGTGATTTGACTCATCTGTTTTTTTTGAAAGGGGCCTTTGAATTATTCCCATCAATAAACAAGTGTGAAATGTAATGTTAATCAGCCATAACCGGGAGAGTGTCACCTCTAAGAAACGCCATTTCCAATCATATCTTCCTGAGCACAGAAAATTGAAGTTAACCAGTTGATAGCCATAGTCTGAATCAAATCATCAGTAAGAAGCTAATGGCAATAGAGGATTATAGCTGCATCCACCCTCAGCTTCCACCTATAAGGCTCTCTCCTGCAGAACCACCAGGCAGGGCCTCTATCTTCTCGCAATAGCTTTGATCAATCTGACAAGAAACAACTTCCTAGCCTGTCAACAGGTCTCCTCAATCCGGGGTTGTCTTAAACAGAGACAATCTGGTGGGTGTGATCACCCTGAGGAAAGTGAGCCAGGCGCCCATATAGCCTGAGTTGACAGTCCCAGACTGCAATGGGTCCAAAACATATATTTCAAAAGAGCTGCCATCCAGGAGTTACACTACCTTCTATCAAGTTTTAGCACAACATTTTCCCACCTGCCTCTGGGCACATTTAAATCTAAGAGTCTTACAGAAACTTTGACATTCCTGAATAACAGTTTGAAAAAGTTTGTAACACATTTTTCATAGGTCTTTAAAACCAATATACTTTATCAATGATTACTATTTCTTCTTCTGTCTATGAAATACAATCACTGTTCAACAAATGAAAGAAATGCAAGGTGCTACAATCAAGGTTCATAAAAATTATAACATTATTTACAAACTAACAAACAGGTTCAAAGGTTAAAGATCTTAATACAAAAATTCCCTTATTTCTTCAACTTTTTTTTTTAATTTTAAACAATTTAAGAGAACTGCACCTACTAAGCTTAGTCCTTGTGTAAACGGAGTACCTAACAAGAACATAGTATTAAAAGAACAACATCCATCATAAAACACCAGCTAGTACTCAGTGGCCTTTCTTGTGCAATATGTCTGAAAAACCTTTATCAAGAGTCATCACCCCTAATTACTGACCTTGGTCTTGAGAGGCACATCCTCCACCTCAGCTGTGATCTTCCTGATGCGAGGAATCTCGTCTGTCTTGCTGCCGAGCTTGAGGTGTACTTCCTTGGCAGGGTCATTTTCTGGCTCTACTACATTGCTTAAGGAAAATCCGGACAGGATCTGATCCATTCTTGAAAACATTTTCTCTTGGTACTGCAAAACGAAACATTTCTGTTACTTCATACTGTGGAGCTGTATTATACACTTTGGAATTAATATAAAGAATAAATCCTGTAAAAAGATTTACAATTTCTAAATGGTCCTCATAACCAGTAAAGGACCGAATATGCAGTGCGAAATCCAGTAAATGGAATTCATAACAGTCAGGGTCATCTAAATGGTCCTCATAACCAGTAAAGGACCGAATATGCAGTACGAAATCCAGACAAGTTTGGAGAAGCAATACTTTTTTTTAAATCAAAATTCATTATAATGGAGAATACATATACATATAGCAGACTAACCAAAGAGAGAGCACAAATTAGACCCACATATATAAGTACCTACATGAATATAAATATATGTATGCCTATGTCTTCATTATTCTTCAGTGGTCCACCAAAAACTTATAAATCATATAATGCAGATATCACAAAATAAAATGTTAAGATAAATAAAGGTTATGAAGAGAAAAACAAACAAATAAGATAATACAAATACAGGGTATCAAAATAAAATATCAAAATAATACCAGGTATCAAAATAAATATAAAAAATAATACCAGGTATCAAAAAAAATTAAAATAAATACAGGGTATCAAAATAAATATAAAAAATAATACCAGGTATAAAAAAATGTTAAAACAAATACAGGGTATCAAAATGAAGTGTTAAAATAAATACAGAGTATCAAAATATAACATTAAAATAAATACTAGGTTTTCAAACAAAAATGTTCAAATAAATACAGGGTATCAAAATAGAATGTTAAAACAAATTCTTTAGACAATACCTGAAGCTTCATTGCTCCTGGTGACCTCTCATTGGCCTGTCTGTATAACATGAGGAGGTTAACAGGGTCACTGTAATTTAAGGAGAGTGCTTTCAAGTCCCGACAGTGTAGGCCCTTGCACAGTTCCTTGAAGATCCTGCCGGGGATACTTCGGTTTGCAAAGAGCAGCTCATATTCAACGTTAACTGCAAACTTAGGGAGGGGAAATTAGCACTGGATGATTTGCAATTAGGTTTTCTTTGCAAACACACATAAAAAGCAAAGAAAGATTCACCACACAAAGAAATGTAAACACACCTACACCTGCACCCATTCACCCAACCACACCCCTCACCCCACAAACACACACGCACACATACACACCTTTACTAAGAAGCAACAGAATGCCTCTACCATAACATGTCATCAATACTCACCCGAAACTTTGAAAAGGCTGCTTGACGGCCTGCCACCCCTTCGCCACTGTGTCTTGTCTTCATTCTTCTAACTCTTTGCTCTAGATGTAGCTCCCACAGAACGAGCTCAGGGTGTGATTTTACAATGACGCTGGTCTTGTAAACCTTTCTGAACACCTCCATGGCCCTGCAAATATGTGTTTCATTCATAATTCTTCCTATCCATAAAAGCATAATTTGCAGAGATATACAGTATCTAAACAGCTGACCTTTATGAAGTTTTTAACATAGCATCATTTGATTACTGTTAAAGCCACTATTTACTAGACGTAATCACATAACACAAATATGACTGAAACCTATATGAAGCTACAATTAATCAACATTTATGCATATGACAAATACATAATACTTTTACTCCTTTTTTCTACACTTTACCCATACAATGACTTAACAAACAAGTAATAATGAAACTAAAAGAACAGGGAGCTCTACTTGGCATACTAATAAAAACCACTAGCCTGCAATGTTTAAAAATATATAATGATAACCACAATTCCCCATTGTTTGGCTGCAGAACATACAATTATCCAGTGAAAAGATTCATTTTAAGCTTACATCTAAGGGGTTATAACACCTCAATCTCTGAAGAAGTGGCCAAGCATGCCAGCAACTTTTTAGCATGGGTTTAACAAGCTAATCACGTAAAAGGGTAAACAGGTGAGATATGCAGGACTGACAATTGACTCCTTGGTGACTGAGCACTTGTGGAGCCATTTATGTGTAAACACCATTAAAAAAAACTAAATTTACAATGAACTTTAGCATTCTGTTAGTATTGCCATCTAAAAATCTTGTACCCTAAAGGTAATATTATTTATTAGATCATTAACATCATTTTTTTTTTTTTTTTTTTTTTAACTAGTTAATGCATTTAACAATCTTCCTGATTATTACTTCATATGTTTAGTAAATCAATTAACACTGATAAATGCACATCTTGTGCTACATAGTGACTCATTTCTTTTTAAAGCCATTTTATTTTCATATTTGTTTTCCACTTCTTATTTTTTCTTTATGTTGAGTGCTTGAACAGAATATTTATAGTCTGCCTTGAATAATAATAAAGATCAAGCCTATCCTGCATTCTTTTTTTATTTTCACCCTTGTTAGATTATCCTAATTACAAAATAAACATATAACATAACAAGCAGATTAACTGATATAGGTGTAGAAACGAAGCAACCATAAATCATGTTTTCTAACAGGTACTTACTCAATGACATCTCCAGCGGTGAACGGCAGAGGAGGATCAAAATCCACTAAGTGATACGCATCCCAAGATCCTGATAAAAATGACGTGAGGGGCACTGCTTTGGCATCATATTTCCTGAAAGAACAAAATTTATTAAGCATGTGCTTGAAATTCAAATAAAGTACTGTAATACAAATACTGGAAAATGTGGTGGGAGAAAGGGAGATGGAGGACAAGGGGAGGAAGAAGGAGAAGGGAAGGGAAGAAATAGAAGAAAGAGAAAGGGGGAGAGGAGAATGAAGAGGTAGGAGAGGAGATAAAAAGAAAAAAAGTATTTTCTTTTTTTATTGCTTTTACAAAATTGGTCTGGCAGAGTTTCATAACTTTTTTTTTTTTTTTTTTTTTTTACCATAGATAAAGCAAATTGCTAATTTATCAGAAAAGAATACATGTGGAGAATACTCAGTACTATGCTGGAAATCTATGCAAGAAATATACATGACTTAGTTTCCAAGAGAACAAAGAAAATCCATCATCTAAAAAAATCACGCACAGTCCACTTGGCACACCTTAGTTTCATCTCTATACATACCGAGGTGAAGACAAAGTTTGTTGGAGGGAGTTGGGGGAAAGAGCCCCCATCAACCCTCTCCTTGGGTAGTGCTCAAGGGGAATGCCCAGTCACAGCAATTTGGATTGCTGAATAAAGTTTGTGGAATAGGGGTCTTAGTGTCTGGCAATTGTTTCTGTACTGTAAAACTTATCAAGCTTTGGGGTCATTTCTATGACCTTTCCATAAAATACAACCAACTCTTAACCCACTGACAACGGGACGCTGGTGCGACGCCAGATCAGTTGCTGGACTCGCCCGCGCGTACCGTCACTAGTGGGTTAAATCTATTAGGATTTTAATGACCTTAATACACAAGATCGAAAAATAATAAGAAAACTGCAAATATTAATTAAGTTTCCTGGCAATCAATCTTTCCAGACTCTGCCTAGGAGGGTTGTCCTCTTGGAAACTTGTCTGCTATGACATCCATTATCTGTTTGATCTTAAAGGTCAAGGAATGCACTACAGCATGGATTTCACCATGAAATACCTAGGGATGTCTATGCAAAATTTCTGCCATTTATCTTCTCAAACAAAAAAGTTGTTTGCATTTCATTAAGCATGAGAAAACATAAATTTTTGTGCCAATTATTTAAATGCCTTCTAATGCCATATCCATCAAACAAAAGGCTCATTCATTAAAACTTTAAATTGTGATTACTCCGTAGTCTTTTGTCCATACTTTCAGATGATATATTGATTCTAAAAATTCATCTAACCATTTGAGTGAAGCAGGAGAGCGAATTAACAAAATCATGGTTTTGAAATACGAGCATCTGAAGATTTTGACAGCTGTTATCATCTGTCATATCAAAATAACTGAGAATAATGTACGGTTATTGTGCTGACATGTAAAGCAACCTTAGTAAAACCCACATGTAACATTGAACATTAAATGAAGTAAAGGAGGAGGAGAACTCCTTTGTACGAGGGGAAAAAAACTGAGTAGATAGTTAACTTGAAATTGGAAAAAATTAGAGTACTAAAGAAGGAGGGCGACATCCCTTGCTTGGTAGTCTTTGTTAGTCTCGTCCTGTAAATATTTGCAATAAAAAGGGCTGGACAGGTGCAAAATTGAATCCCACGGCAGCAAGACACAGCAAATCTCTTTCCCAAACGCTCTCCCAGCACTCCTCGTCTCGTTGTCTTTCTCTCTTCATGGGTAGTTGCCAGATAGAGCCCAAAATCTCATACCAATTTCACAAAATAATAAATATAAGTATAAATCATATACAAGATGGAATAAATAAATTATTGTTCGCATATATTCATGATCAGGCCCTGCCCCCCAACCTGGGATGAAACAAATTTGTTAAAATCCGTTTTTTGCTTTAACCTGTAATATACCTGCCAGCAGCCGTATGTGTAAGCAGAGAACCTGGATGGTTATAGAACATTTACCAATTTTTAAATGTCTTTCTAAAGCCGTTTTTTTTTTTTTTTCTACAATTCTTTACCTAAACAGTCAGAGTGTAGAGAGTGGAGTACACATTTTCCCGCCCTTCTAAATTCTCGCTGACTGCGGGCACCACCCATCATTTAGCTCGGTGTGACACATAGATCCCGTCACGAGTGGGTTAAGGAACATACGAAACAATCCTACTAAGCATATAGAATACTCTACGCAAAATGAAGACAAAACAAATATCAGTCACAAAAAAAACATATATCTATACACGTGTAGCCTCCAACAAAGAGATCGTCTACTTTTCCTGTAATTTCTCCTCAAATAATGATTTAAATATGCGAGGGAAAAGATACGTTAGCCTTTAACAAACACATAAAATGAAGAAGCCACACGTGATTTCCTGCGGTTCAATTCTATATAATCACTCAAACAATTACCAACTGAAGTCATAACAACATTATCTGCGAGATATTGAGATAAATAATAAAATAAGTTGTCACTTTAGTGCTGGTTAAGACATACCTTTTAATCTTAAAATCTGACAGTGCAGTCATATTGCCTCCTTATGTTTTCCGTTTTTCTTTCTAATAGGTTTCTCTTTTCAATCAGGCTTTCATCTCTAGTACACTAAATATAATAAAAATATAGAGAATTATTGGAGCTTCTGTTTGCCAACCGAAAAAGCCTTTTAAACGCAAACAGCTGATTCTTTATAACCGGGTTGCATAGGCGATGACTTGGTTCTTTCCAAACTTATCTATAAACTAAAA